GCCGCTCGCGCTGCCGCCGCGCGCTGCCGCCGTGGCGGTTCCGGGTCGTGTCGGGTCAACCCGGCAACCCGCCGGGTCGGGTCCGGGTTCGGATTTTCGACCCGTTTCTCTACCCGGGCCTGGTTAGGGTTGACCCGTTTTCCACCCGGGTCAGTTCGGGTTCGACCCGAACCCGACCCGTGACCCGAAATTGACACCCCTAGTAAGAAATATCTCCACCAACTTTCCTAACATGTGATGCATATTCAATACTCAATATTTAATCATATTTTGTTTAAATAATACACCATTAATCCTTCTTTAATTAACCTAAATCAGAGCTTAATCACACACGATTATACAAAAAATACTTTATTAGCACTAAGTACGAGCCCTTATTGCACTGTAAATGAAATCAAAGAATGTTTCGAAGAACTTCAAATATTATATAGAACGGCTAAATTTTCTGACTGTAACGGCGTCTGCACTCTGCACCCAAAAGGCCAAAACAAAAGTGTTCAACGCCCAATCTCCGGCAAAATTAACGGCTCAAATTAACGCCTGCGAGGCCGCTCAACTCCTCTCCAGCTTTATAATTTTATTTACTACATTTTTCTTACTGTTATTTATTGAATTAAAAAAAGTACAGTGTAATATTAATTTTTTATTTGAAATAATTTTCTTATTATTTTATTTTTACTATTCAAATTTCTATTTGACTAATATTTTTTCGTTGGTCTGAAAAAATTCTTTTGAAATGCTGATGTGGCTTCATTTGGGACAATTTTTTTACAGCTTTTAAAAAATTTTTTTATTCAAAATTTAAAAATTTTAAATTAAAAAGTTGCTTTAAAAAACAATAAGAAAATCATCCCAAAAGAAGTTGTAAAAATTAAATTTTAAAAGTTTATTTAAAAAAAGTCATTTTTTTCAAAATAAATTTATAATTATCTTTATAAAAAATTACGATCATCTCAAATATATTTTTAGATGATAATTTTTTTTTTAAATTTATTTGATAATTATATATATATTGGGAAAAGAGAAAAATATGAATATAATTAATTATATATAGGGAAAAGAGAAAAATATGACTATATAATTTGGCTAATTTGGCTGAATATAATGGAGTCAATTTTTTGTTTTGAAAAAAATATGTAATGATATTTGATGCAAATTATATCAAGATAAATTTAAAATTTCTTAAATTTATTTTAAAATTAGCATATCATAATTTTTAATATACAGCATTAATTTTAAAAAAATAAATTTAAAATTTTAAGTATTATCAAATAAATTGTATTAAAATAAGTAATAACTTAAGCGTTTTATAACATCATTGCTAGAACGACAAAATATAAGCCATATTAACAGGATATTTAAATATTTTTTTTTCGGCACGAAGGCGCGCAGAACAGAACCAGTTAGAGCTTGAGGGAGACGAATGAAGACAGGCCAAGCCAACCCAGCCACACGTGCTCTTTTCTACCTCTCTCTATCTCTCTCTCCTCTTTCAGCCTTTCTTCCCTTTCCAAAGCTCCTAAAATAATCCCCTTCTCTCTCTCTCTCTCTCTCTTTGTCTCTCTCTTCCTCTGTAAAGCTCGAGGTTGAATATCATAGAGCGAAGTTTTGGGAGAAGGAAAAGCAGAAAGCTAAGAATCGCCATCTCTCCATCTCTCTCTTCTCTTTCTTTTCGCCTAAAAAGAAGGGATTTTGATATTATCTTGGGCCCTGCCACTCACTTCTCTGTTTCTTCTCCTACTGTGCTCACAAAGCTGCTTCTACAGCAGCACCTTACTGTTTCCTCTTTAGAGAGAAATCTTCTGGTCTCATTCACCGCTCTTGTTTCTTTCACGTTTTTTCTTTTGTTTCTTCGTCCTTCCACTCTTTCATGAAAGCTATTTGACGATTGTTTTTGTTAACAATGGCTGAGAAATCTGGACGCAGAGCTCCATTTGATAGAGGAGTTGAGCAGGTTTGAACTTCTTTGTTCTCTTGGTTTGTTTTAATGGATTTTGTTTTGGTTTTATGGTCGGGTTCGTTGTTTTTTCTTTAGTTAGATTAGATCTTTAAGGTTATGAATGCCAAATTATATTGATTTCATAAATTTTTTTTAAAAATTTGAAATTAAAATATTATGTTCTACTACTTGTTTCTTGCTTCACTAATGGGTTATAGTTTGCTAGTTTTGGTAAAAGACAAGTTTTTGGTATTTACTTTTTGTCGTTTGGCATGTTTTATAATTTCCACCGCTCTGTTATTTGTTTTCTTCTTCTTTCCTGAACTTTTTTTTTCAAGTGCAGTAAAAAATCTTTTTTTAAAAAAAAAAATTTAAAGACTGATCTTACTTACTTCAGTGTTTTGATTTGTTTTGCTTATTTTTGTTTTCATTTGGTTGTTTTTGATCATTTTTCTAAAGGTACAGAAGATTTTAGTTTAAAATCACAATTGATTTCTTACAAATAACTGAATGATGAATTCTTCATTTTTTAAAAAAAATATATAAAATAAAATAAAATATATTTGCTTCATTTTCTTAAAAATAACATCAAAATTGTATTTTTACAATTGGATTATCGGTGCTGCATGTAATTTCTTTATTCTTCACTTGCTTCCTTCTAATGGGGTTCAAATTTGTCACTTATGATAAATTTCCAGTTTTTGGTATTTAATTTTTGTCCTTAGACATTTTTTATAGTTTCTACAGCTCTATTCTTTGTGCTATGAATTTTATTTGAATTTTTTTTGGTTCAGTATATACTGATGAAAATTATATCAGAATGCATTTAAAAGCCATTAGATTTACCTTAAAATTAATGATGCAAATAAAGAGTTTATATTGCACTAATCTTAAGTCAAATCCAATAGCTTTTAATACTATCAAATATTTTTTAAGACCGTTCAATACAAATTGTATTAGGAAACAAGCTAATTTATTCCTTCAATTTTTTGCAAAGGCTATTGTTGCTCTGAAAAAGGGTGCCCATCTTCTGAGATGTGGAAGAAGAGGAAAGCCCAAGTTCTGCCCTTTCAGACTCTCTACTGTAAGTTTCATCTTTACAGTTAAGATCCACAATTTGAGCACATGATATAGGCTTACAATTTTCTTCATGTTTTCTAAAGTATTTTCTTAGTGCAACATTTTTTTTTAAGTTGCAAAGAAGCAGCGACCAAAAGCCATTCAAAATGAAGCCTTATTTTGATTGAGTTATGTTTGCTCTTATTTGATTTTTACGAAGAAATTTTCATTAAACAACTCCATCGACATTTAGGCTTAGTTTGGGAAGGCTTTCTTACTGTTTTTTAAAGCAACTTTTTAGTAAAAAATTAAATTTTTTGTACTAGAAAGCAGCTTTATGAAGCAATAAGAAAACTGTCCCAAACTAAGCTTTGCTATTTTCAAACTTATGACTTGATTATTCACTCTGCTGGAAAAAAAAATAATGATATTTATAAATAAGAATTAGAGATAAGTTTGTATAGCATAATGCACATGGAAGAATCATGAAGGGTATGGGGGCAACTCAACAAAATCTTTAATGAATTCAATGCTTTGATGCAAATAGTATTTTCCATGTGATAGTTCATTAGATATTAAAAGAAATTGCATAATGATATCTTTGCATCAGATGAAGTTCAAAACTCTTGGATTTACATTCAAATTAATACTACACATGATAATTTGCATTAGAACTAACTTAACAGCTCTTGGATATGCAATAAGATTAGTAAAGCCCTTAAATATTATATGTAGCACTAATTTCGGTGCAAATCCAAGGGCTAAGAGCTATTAAAGTTTCATTTGGGACGGCTTTCTAACTGCTTCTTAAAGCAGTTTTCTAATACAAAAAATTAAATTTTTATACTAAAAAATTGCTTTAAAAAGCGGTAAGAAAGCTATTCCAAACAAAGCCTAAGTCTGTCTTGATGCAAGAAGTAATATTTTTGATTAAACTGTCTTTTAATATTCTTCTTTGTCTTTAGGATGAGAAGTCTCTGATTTGGTATTCTGGTGAAAAGGAAAAATGCTTGAAGCTAAGTTCTGTGTCAAAGATCAATTTTGGACAGAAAACTGTATGTATGCATAAGCAGGAAGTCTTGTTCGAATTTTTTTCTTTAAATTCATGTAATATAATTGGAGAGTGATTTCTGGCAGGCTAATTTTCGTAGGCACCTGCAACCAGAAAAAGAGTCTCAATCCTTCTCACTTCTTTACCAAAATGGAGAAAGATCGCTAGATTTGGTACTCTTCCTTAATGTATAAATTTTTCTTTTATATGCACCAATGGTCTAGCTTAACTTCTTTTGAATTTTTTCCCGTTTTGGTTGAATTTTGAATTAGATTTGCAAAGATAAGGAGCAGGCTGAGTGCTGGCTATTAGGCTTGACAGCATTGTTGCCCATTTATAATCATCCTAGACCTCTGGCTTTCCTGCCAACCGGGCGATCGGCACACAGTTGCCTGAACAGTCCAGTTAGCCATTTATCAGCAAAGTATACTTTAAAAGTCGTTCATGATTCCTCTGGAATCCCACAGGTTCATTACATATAAATTGTTTGTATTATCATTATTTTGCTTGTTTTCCATATTGACATTCTGATATTTCATGTGAAGGTCTGCAGTGTATATGGAAGCCCGCCAAGGAAACTATTAGAGAGATATGTTTCAGATAACTTCTTAGATACATCTGATTTATTTTATTCATTAAGGAAGAGGACCTTATCAGATGTGCAGGACTTGATGGATGAAAAGCTTCCTTTTTTAACTCATAAAAGTACAAAAGATAGTTATCAAATGAAGGAACATATAATGAGTTCTAGTACTAAAACAAGTCCACCTGATAAGGGTGATTGTTTAAAGGATGTTTTCATGTGGGGTGAAGGAGTTGGAGTGTTTTTTGGTGAAAAGTCAAATGCTTTTGAGACCAATGGCATCAAGGTTGATGTTTTGCTGCCCAAATTGTTGGAATCCACACGAGTTTTCGATTTGCAGAGCATTTCTTGTGGAGAAAAGCATGTTGGATTTGTCACCAAAGAAGGAGAGGTCTTTTGTTGGGGCGAAGGAAATGGCGGAAAATTAGGACATAAGGTCAATTTGGATGTGACACATCCCAAAATTGTTGAATCATTAAGCGGCATTTTTGTACAAACAATAGCTTGCGGTTCTAAGCAAACTTGTGCGGTTACGCGGTCTGGTGAACTATATGTATGGGGTAATAGTTGTGTTTGTGAAGGGGGTAATAGAAGCCATTGGATACCTTATCGACTATCGAATTGTCTCATTGGTATTAAGATACTGAAAGTTGCATGTGGAGAGTGGCATACCGCCATTGTTTCAAGTTTTGGCCAGTTATTCACATATGGAGAAGGAACATTTGGAGCACTTGGTCATGGAAATCAACATAGCTCCTCTCAGCCAAAAGAAGTCGAATTTCTTAAAAATTTGCGAGTCAAATCAGTTGCTTGTGGACCATGGCACACCGCCGCCATTGTTGAGGTCATGGTTAGCCGATTCAAGAGCAATACATCGAGTGGAAAGCTGTTTACTTGGGGAGATAGTGATAAAGGGAGACTTGGTCATGCTGATAAAGAAAGAAAACTTGTTCCAACTTGTATTGCTTCACTTGTGGACTGTGACTTTGTTCAAGTTTCTTGTGGTAGAACACTAACAGTTGCATTAACCGTCACCGGCTTAGTAATTACCATGGGAAGTGCCATGAACGGGCAGTTGGGCAATCCTCGAGCTGAAGATACAACAATCGCGACAGTTGAAGGATTTCTTAAGAATGAGTTTGTTAAGGATCTTTCATCTGGTTCATCTCATGTGGCCGTTTTGACAACAAAAGGAAATGTTTACACTTGGGGTAAGGGGGACAATGGAAGGCTTGGATTAGGTGATACTAAAGATAGAGACTCCCCAGCTTTAGTAGAAGCATTGCAAGATAGAAACGTTCAAAATGTAGTGTGTGGATTCAATTTCACTGCTGCGGTTTGTTTGCACAAATCTCTCTCAAGCAAAGATCAGCTATTGTGCACTGGCTGTCGAATGGCTTTTGGTTTTACTCGAAAGAAGCACAATTGCTATCATTGTGGATCAGTATTCTGCCATTCATGCAGTAGTAAGAAAGCTTTGAATGCTTCTTTGGCGCCAAATAAAACTCGGAGATTTCGTGTTTGTGATCTGTGTTATACTCGACTTGAAAAGCTTGCATCTTCCAGAATGATCAATGAAGCAGCCAGTCCAAGGCAGTTTTCGATGATAGGGAAGGGACTTTCTGATTTGAGATTAAACAGAGAGGAGTCACTATCTTTTCTTCCAAAAATATTCACTCCAAAATCAACTGTTCATGACGAATCAATGTTTCTTGATGGAAAGAGTATATCAACGCAAAGTGCTGACCAGCAAAATAAAGATCAATTCTTGTCTGGTGGAGCTCAAAGATGGGGGCAAGTGCCGTGCCCGCCTCGATTCAAGAAGGGCGTGAGAAACGAGTTTGTGATGTTTAAATCGAAATCCAAAGAACAAGTTTCAAATTATGCAAATATTAATACTCGAAATCGTTCAAAATCTATGCTTCCTAAAGCTACCAGCTTAAAACAAGATTTGACAGTAATAGACAAGTTTCTTGCAGAAGAATTGCAACAGCTGCAAGAGAAGGTTAAATTTCCATATATTAATGGCATTCTTGCTTTAACATGATTGCTTGAAAATTATTTAAAACTTTGCATTTTGTATATTCTTTTGTCTTCTTAATATCAATTCCTAACTAAACTATCTCATAACAAAATATTGACTTTAATATGTTATACATTAAGAAAAAGAGGTTCAAAGTTCTGAATTATAGTAAAAATGGCCTTCAGAAATGAGGATGCAGAGAATGTTTTGTTAACTTATCTAGAGATGTTATTATGTCAAAAGCTAGCAACTTTCAATTGCAAACAATCCATATTGTTTGTTTCAACAGAATCAATCCTTTGAGATTCCATTCAAATATCATGAAATAGATGATTGTTCTTTGTATTTGTTTTAATTTTTCCCCACTTGAATACATTCGTGTATTATATGGAGGACAAAAATTCTAAGTTCTTCAAAATTGGTTCTTGCAGGCTATATCACTAACACAACAATGCCAAAGTAAAAGTTTGAAACTTCAGCAGTATAAACGCAGAATTGAAGAAACCTGTTTGGTAGCAAGTGAAGAAGCTGCAAAATGCAAAGCCGCGAAGAATCTTATCAAAGTTCTACGAACACAGGTGCGCATAACCAATTTTTCATGATACTGTATTAAATCATTTCATACATGAAATATTCACCCATGTAAAAATTTCTAATGTCTCTCATCTCGATGAACAGATTGTTCTATTGCTTCTTGATCCATGAAATAGTTCAAAAGTCCTTAGTTATTTTCTACCACATTGCAAGTTATTTTCTACCACATTTAAATTTGTGATAGGAAATAATTGAATATTTCAAATAAGCCCTAACAAGAATAGTGAAAAACAGCAAGAGAAACACACAAATCTGGTGAAAAATTCTTCAAATTGTAATTGGATTGCAAAAAGAGAACTAACGGAAACAACCTATGTTGCACCGATACGGATACAACGACACGGATACGACACGATACGGATACGGGACACTCCAATTCTTAAAAATACAAGATACGGATACGGCACGGATACGACATTATAATATATAAATCATACATAAAAATTAAGAAAATAATCAAAGTGTAATATTTGAAATGACAAAAAAAAAATAAATTGAAAGCAACATTATTTGTAACATTTTATCTTATAATATCAAAATAAAAATAAGCATTAAATATTTAAATGTCTAGTACAACAATAAAAATAAAAATATAAATTGTCCAGCACATGAAGTTTCAATTATTCAATAGAAGGAATGATAGTATTAGCTTCTTTAGTGGTTTGTCTTTGAATTTCTATATCATCTTCAATAAATATCATAGCTTCCAATTCAGGCTCATCAAGTGAAAGATTAGCAATTTCTAATATTCCCACATCCTTAAGAGATTCAAATCCATCTTCAGCAACATCCCACATCTTATTGTCTCCTTCCATATAAGTTGGAGTTTTCCTTGAGAGAAGCCGAAGGTTTGTATGCATATAAATTAAATCTTCAACCTGTTGTAAAGTAATTTTATTTCTCTTCATTGATTGGATGAACGAGTATGTGCTCCAATTTCTTTCACAACAAGATGAGTAAGAAACTTGGCTAGGCAATTTTTTGACGATTGTTTGAAATAGAGGTGCTGAAGTACTCATGTAAATTAAATGCTTTCTCTAAAGCATTATCTACAACATGTTTTCTTCTTTTTGGCTCAAATCCTTCCATCCGAAAAGGTCCTTTATTTACAGTGTTGTCATCAGTTCTAATTAAAGAAGATGATGAAGGATATGAAGCATGAGTGCTTGAAAGTGGAATATATTTTGGAAGATCTTTTTTACTCCTTTGCTTAGCTTCACTAATTTTCCTTTGTAATTCAGTCATTTGTGATGAACTTATCTTCGGGCATCCTTTAAAGTTTTCTCTACATTCTTGGTACCGCTCGGTATTGCTTGGTACCCCTCTGTACCGAGCAGTACCGAGCGGTACCGAGTTCCGGTACCAAGCCTACGATTAAGAAAATGAACCTTCAATGCTCACGTCGCCTTCACTGTTCGTGTTCTCCGTCGATGAAAGATCATGTCGACTTTAATGCTCGCGTCGTCAAGCCTCTTTGTCGACGAAGGATGATCCTATCCGCTTCTATGCTCGCGTCGTCGAGCCGCTCCTTCGAATATAATGAAGAAGACGAACACCTGTGCCGAAACGAAAAACCTAGCTCGCCGAAATGTTTAAGCCGCATAAATGAATAGAGATATCAAGAGGGAAGTGGATAGCCGAAATGAATAGGGCAAATTGAGGCTTTTTTTGTTTTTTAATAGGCCGGTCAAATTTAAATAATATTTTAATTGGACACGGCAAAGCCGTATTTGAGGCGTATCGATATCCGATACAACATGCCTCGTAAATAGGCGTATCCGTTCAACATAGGAAACAACGAAACAATGATACAATTGATCCTCAATTCTAGAGGAGATCGTCTCTCCCAATCTCTAGATGAATCTAGAGCCCAAGATATCAAGAAGAACCCTCACAAGAAAACAATAATCAAACATAATCCTAACCCTAATCTCCCTCTCATACTTAAGAAATACAATTAAAACAATAAAAAAAAGATCAAAAGGCCCTTGCCGCCCCCTCCTTTGACTCCAATTTTGAATTTGAAATCAAGTGGATCGCACCCCTTCTCTCTCTCTCCCTCTTGCCACCGCCCCCTCCTATAGACTTGAACCGGCCCCTTCTAAGGGGCCGGCTGGAACGGTCCACTAGGGACCGGTCTAACAATTTGTTGATCTCCTATATGTTAGAACTAATAGAAACCTGGAAACAAAGCATCATATCCAGTTTGGAACTCCAGAAAAAGATATGGACAATAATGTCTGTCATGACCTCTTAAAAACCTATGAGAAAGGTTTGAATCAATCAAGTAATCAAAATATTTAGAGAGTACATAATGGAAAAATAAATGCACAAATTGTTATAATTTAATTAAATGGATAGGAAATGGGAAGGCTTCACACTTACAATGACTGTTCACATAAGATCCAGTTGCTTATTGTTGGCAACTTTTGTAATCACGTACATTAATCAACTTTGATTTTTTTTTTTATAATTAAGATACTTATTTCAGATATTCTTATTTGCTATAGGTGAATGTGCTATCGGAGAAAATTATTATAGCAGAAGGGCCAGAGAAAGAAACAAGATCCGTAGTTGATGATAAATTGACGGGGACTCTCAGTAGTAAAAACTCCAATCCAGAAGTTAAAAAGGTGACGAGTGAAAGCACTCAAGTTCCAAACAATGGGATAAGTACAGATTACAATGCACATTCAGCAGTGTCAGAAGCAAGAAAATGTTCTTCAAATTCTTCAAAAGATGAATGGGTGGAACATTATGGGCAGGGAGTCTACATTTCATTTGCCATTTTACCAAATGGACAGAAAGGTCTAAAACGTGTAAGATTCAGGTGAGTTATTGATTTGGGTTTTGAATCTGCTGTGAATCTTAATGAAAGCACTGCATCAGAAGTTGTAGTAAAGATGTTTTAGGAAGAAGTTTCAGTTTTTTTTACATATTGTTCTAGGAATCCAACATTGTTATCAACGGTTAGCACCTAAAACAACCAATTCAACATATTTAAAAGTTATGTAAATTATAATCTGAACTCCAAAACAATAGAAAGCTTAAAAGCGATTGAGATCTATAATACAAATGACGCACCTTTTTATGAATTAAAAGTTTCTAACTGTCAGGCTTCCCAACCGAGCATTCATGTTAGAAGAGATTGATGGCCTTTGCTTCAGATGAAGAGTTCATCGAACAATTGGACGCTCAAAGCTTCAGAAACATTCCAGATCCGGGAGTCCTCTAACGGGTCTTGGGGACCTTGCCCCTCCTTGGTTTTTTCCCATGCACCTGCTTGATTTTCCTCCATTGGCTAACTCTCTAACTGACTGACGAACTGAGAATCTATCCTTGGCGCGTTTCCACCTTTTCACCACCCTATTGTTGGCTCGTCGGAGTCCCTCGTCATTTCCACTCCTTTTCATTCCCCGGCTTCGTCATCCAGTCAGCTCTCACTTCTTTTGCTGTTGATCCTTCCTGCCAACGTGGCCGCATCCAATACCTCTTTATCTGCTTCTACCTCTGTCTCCAAACCCAAACGCAGCTCTCCGCGGTTTCTCGGAAGCCGGCCTTTTTCGGCTGGGGAAGGAAGAAGGCAGTGCCGTTGCGGTCCGAGGGCGACGATAATAAGAAGGTTGCGAGAGTGTCACCGGGGATAGAAGTTGACAGCTAAATCATTCCAAAAGAAACCACCATCTAATGCCCTTCGGGCATAGAAGTTGACAGCTTTATTACTGTCTCCTGGTATACACAAAAAGAATCTTATGGAACATCTTCATCCAGTTAAAATGTTCCCCATCCTGCGGTCAAGCCTTCCAATCATCCCTCTTGCTACAATTCTGCATGTAGTGAATAACACTAGTAGACCTGCCGAACCTGACCCGAAAATTTCGTGGTTGGGTTGACCCGAACCAGAAGCGGGTCGGGTTCGGGTCCGGAAAATCTATCCGTTTGAAAAATAGGGTTGGTTCGGGTTGACCCGGAAACCCGGGAATGACCTGAATCGACCCGAAATAACATAAACCCGACTACCGGCCCCGCGTCAGCCCCGCGCCGCGCAGTCGAGCGAGCACCGTGTTGCCCGCCACCTCGCTGCCGCGCAGTCGAGCTCGCCTCGCCCCGCGTCGTGCAGTCGACCGCCTGCCCGCCTGTCCGCCTGCCTCGTTGCCGCGGGCCCATGCGCGATTGCTGCCCAGTGCCCGCGTCGTTCACTCGAGTGGTCGAGCTGTCTAGCGCGCCCTGCGTGACTGCGTCTCTCACTCGTGCCCACGGTGCCCCGCTGCCGCGCACGATTGCGACCCGAAACTGGGGATCGTTCACTCGAGCTGCCGCGCACGACCACAACCGCGCTCTGTGTCGCTCACTCGCGACCGCGGATGAAATAAGTGGGGTCGGGTTGACCCGGTTCGGGTCCAGAAAATCGACCCGTTTGCAAAAATGGGTCGGGTAGACCCGAACCCGAATAGTGTCGGGTCAATTTCGGGTTTGACCCGAACCCTACCCGTAACCCGAAATTGGCACCCCTAAACACTAGCATTGTCCCCTTCTATAATGAGCCTGTTAACCTCATACATATTTGTTGAAATAACCTTATTGATGTATTGTATGGTCAGGAGTTTCACTTGTGTGCTGTCCCAGTGACGAAAGCTCCAACCAGCAGCATCACACAACTTGCCCTGGCTGTCCTGAACAACAATCCCAATTCCAGCTGCATTATTCTGTAGTAGAGATCCATCCACGTTTATCTTTATCCTTTCGACTGCTATAAAAGTTGGCGTGTTTTGTAGGACCCCATGCTTTTTAGCATTCTTGTTTCTCCAACATTGAAATGTAGCATAGTAGTAAATGATTGCCCAGTTGTTACTGTTGTTATGACAAGTAGAAATACTATCCTTCAACTCCTGAAGGTTTAGGAACCGTGGTGTTGGGAAGCCCCACTGCCCTATCTTATCCAGCTTAAGTAAAAGCTGAGTACATTTAACCGTTACATGGTTGAGATCTTCCATTTCTTGGCAGCCGAATGGACAATTAACATCATCATGCGGGCCTCTTGTATTCGAACAATTATTACGTCCTCTGACCGGACGTAGAGCTACGTTCGGCCGCCAATAACATGTCGTCACGTGCTCTTACTCTCTACCGCGCGGCCCGACAACTTGACTCGGATCGGAACCCAAGAATACTATGTTCGCGTATTGCAAGGTATTACTCGGTATTTGCTCGGTATTGCCCGGTATTGCATGGCAATTGCATGACAGTAACGAGAAATACCGCTCTGTGAAGACCAATACCGAGCAAATGCCGAGTAATACCGAGTTGTACCGAGTTTTTCTAGAAAAACTCGGTACAACTCGGTATTACTCGGTATTTGCTTGGTATTGCTCGGTATTGGTTATTGCCAAGCAAAATCGACCAATACCTAGCAATACCGAGTAATACCGAGCAATACCTAGCAAAATCGAGACATACCGAGCCATCCTGGGTCTGTTCCGGGTCGGGTTGTCAGGGCGCGCGGTAAATAGTGAGAACGCGTGGCGCTATTCTACTGACGGCCGAACGTAGAGCTACATCCTGTAACCGGACCAAATAAAAGTTCCTTGTATTCAGCCATTGATTGGTAGGGATTAAATCATGATACACCCTCCACCAGAACAAGCTTGCCCTTGGGTGTAACTTTAGTTTATATATGTGCACAATCTGATCTTCCATGAAATCAAACTGTTTGTTATAAGCAATAGCTGCAATAGTAGAACCCCCAGCGGGTACTTGATTAGTTCTAATTTATCCTCCTATCCCTCCACCTCAATGGGAATACCACTTATTTTTTTATATCAATTCTTCCCCAAAGCAGATCTCGAGTTTTTGGGCATCCCAGTTACCCTCTATCGTGATAAATTCTGCTACTTTCAGATTTTCTATGTATTCCACATTACAAAACATTGGCCATTCACCCTAGGATCTATCAAGGATCCATATGTGATTCAGAACTTCAATGTTATTTGATGCGGACATTCAACCGTCCATGCCTATCCGAGGAGCTGAAGATCGACGGCCGTGATGGTCCTATGTTATCTTAAATTTTTATTTGTCATTTTTATTTTAATTATGCATTTTCCATTTTTACTTTTACTTAAGGGTCTAATCTTATCTAAGCTCTAGAGACATGATCGTCTTATTTTAGTTTATTTTATTTGTGAAGCCTATATATATAGACAATTGCTAGTGTAATGGTATGATGGAGTCTTAATAAAAATTTTGTTATGTACTTTAGTTCCTTGGGAGGACTTAGGTGAGATCTCTATGGGAGGGAATCGTAGTTTCTATCAGCCGCAGGATGGGTTCGGGCTCGTGGCTTGAAGTTTCTTGGTGAAGGACAACGCATCACCCATCAGCCGCAGGAAGTGTCCGAGCTCACGGTTTTATCTTTCTTTCCAGTAACTCTTGTTTTTCCTTCTCCCTTGACCGCTGGCCTTACCCCCTCCACAGCCGTCGGTCAAGCTTCCCTCTTCCCTTCTCCCACTCTCTAAGCCGAACACCACCACCGTTTCTTTCCCCCACCTCCAACCGTCGGCCACTCCACCACAACCCACCGACCAAGCGTTTTCCCCCACCCAACCCGTCGGCTACACCCTCCTCAAAAACCCCCACCACCGGCCATGTTTCCCTTACACCCCACCGCTGGCCCACCCTCGAAGTTTCCTTAATTCCAATTTCATTTCACCATCATTACTTTCCTAAATTAGCTCCTATCTTATTTGAAAAGTTTTTAAATTCAAATTCAAATAAATTTGAATTTTAAATTCTTTCCTAAATGACCTACATCTATTTTAGGAAATCCTTTAATTTTATTAAATCTGAAATTATTTCAGATTTAACTCTCCAATCTCCTATTAATGCATGGGTCCACATACATTGTATGTGGATACCTTTTCTTTTCCCTCATTAGGCCGGCCCCTCTCTCTCTCTCTCTCTCTCCTATTTTAATTATTTCCTTCCTTATTAAGGAATTTAATAAGAGGAATAATTAACCACCTATTTATCCTTCCCTCCATCTTATTTGAATTTCAAAATTTAAATCCCTTGATTAGAGGAAATCTGAAATTTAATTTCAGATTTTTAATCTTATTATCTTCCCACCCCCTTCCGTTCTCCATCACTATTACCTCTGCATACTCTCCATCTAATACAATTTCTAAGGCTGGATGTTCCATCACAAAGGATCTTCCAAGTAGCCGAATCACCCCTTTAATAAATCTGCTCCCAAAGCTGATCCCCATATTTCTTCCGTATACATTTCTGGAGAATGTTAGATGGCTTATACAAGTACTCTGGCCTGAGAGGGTGGGGATAAGAGGAACTTATTAGAGTTAGCGGAGTCCCGAATGGAAGGTTTCTCATTCGCTTTTTCCGTCCAGCAGTTTGGTGAGGTGTTCTTCATATGCATGATCAAAATGAACTTTGGCAAAGAAATACATTCTTATTTGATCAGATTTTTCTAAGATTTCTTGCATGAGTTTGAAGGGCTGGTATTGTATAATTGGAAAGGGATACTCTTTGCATTGTGTTATTGCAGCTTTTTACAAATCATTTTTCAGTTGGATACATTAAGATTTTTTAGATTCATCTTTCTGTATTGCTAGAAAACTTTTAAAGATGTTGAATTGGTTGTTTGAGCAAGCAGTTTTTTCTCACACATAAATCAAATGTGTTCATCAATCCCTCTTCAGACCCTTCATTAGTAGAAATTTCATTCATCAACTAAGCCTTCTTTTTGTAAAGATCATTTAATCAGATTTCTTTTGGTTTTGCAAACAGTCGAAAGAGATTCAACGAGAAGGAAGCAGAGAAGTGGTGGGAAGAGAACCGTTGCAGAATATTTGAAAAATACGGCATTGAGCCAATTGATACCACATTCACAAGAAAGATGACAAGCGACGCATCTATCAAATGTGATGAAAATCTTTCATCCTCTAAAGCATAGAACATAGAGAAGAGAATATTGCTGGTAAGTTTGTGAAGATCAATTTTGAAATTACAGCTAAGGAAAATTATGATTAGTGAGAAGAAATGAATGGAGCTGGATCAGGCGGCTTTGGTGAAAGCTTGAGGTGAGGTTGTTGATCATTACAGTTTTCTGTTTTGACCATAGTTCTATTCATCTCTAGAAAGTTTGATAAGGATGAGCTCTGGCTTTTCTTCTTCTTCTTCTTCTTCTTTTTTGTGTATATATTGCTTCAAGGCCATTTACCAGAGCTTTAATGTTGCAAGTGGCCTGACCTGTCTGCAACTGTACAGTATATAGATTTATAAAGCTTCCATTAAAACATCTCTCTCTCTCTCTCTCTCTCTCTCTGAAGCACAATGTCACCAAAAACTCTCATGCAGAAAATATGACTCATCATTTATTTAATATATTCATCTATTTGAGGTGGGATTAAAGTCAATGAACTCTTCAAGCAATCACTTCATCTCAAGCACAAGATTTTCATTTTTTTTTAACTTTTGTCTGTTATTTTTTTCTGCATTTAAAATTTTTTTGTAGTAAAATGCTGCTGTAGAAATTAGTAAGAAAATTATCTCAAAAGAAGTCTTAATAACATGGAGATTCGGAGTAATCGTTCTTAAAACTTTACTTGATTTTGGTAGAAACAATGAAAACTTATTGGAGGTAAAAATCGTATAAACCATTCGATCCCATCTGAACTTTCACCTCTCACACCATTTGATTGAGAGTCTGAAGTAAAGAGGGGGCTAAAGTTGGGAATGATGTACTGTTTTTTTTTTTAACTATCTTATAGCTTTGTACATTTTCATTCTCTTTACAATTTTTTTTTTAATTCAAGCAATTAAGAAATTTTAATTTAAAAATTGAGTCTTATCAACATGCATTGATTTTTTCACCACTGAGTTTTATTTGGGTCATTATATATCATGAAAAATAAAATTTCAGTGTCGCATATCCAAAATTGTTTCATAATTCATATGGATTGAATTTTTTTTTCTATTTTTGCAATGTAATTAAGTTAGAATATATGTGTCTATATTTTTCTCTCTATTTTTAAATTTCATTCCAAACATATAAGCTGGTAGGGGTGTCAATATTTGACACGACCCGAAAACCCGACCGAAAAATTTGGGTTTGGGTGAACCCAAACCCGTTGGGTCAGGGATTTCGACTTGTTTGTAAAATCGGGTAGGGTTCGGGTTGACCCGAAAGCCTGAAATCAACCTGATTTGACCAATTTTAAATTGATTAATGAGAGTTTTAGAAGATTGCTATGAAATAAATAAATGCTATTTCCAAAAATAATAAATCATGCTGCCCAAATTGAACTAAGCTTGATTTATTTTAAATTGATTGAAGTAAATCTTATCTTAATTTTATTTAGGTTTAAATAAATTGAATTAAATAAAAATATTTTAGTAAAACATAAAAAAGTGGATCGGGTTTGAGTTGGCCTGGACCTAAAGTGAGTTGGGTTCTGGTTTGAAAGATCAACCAGTTTGCAAAAACGGGTCGGGTCAAGTACAGATTCAAATTGAACTTGACCCAAAACCCATTTTTGATAGCCCTATAAGCTGGTACTCTCTCTTTCTAGTGCACTTCTTTTCACTTCCACACAACTCTATCTTAAGTCCCCAATATCCCATACAAAAGCTATCGTCATTCGAAGAAGCTCTCAGCTACCCTCTTCGTGTTTACTTATCCATTTTCTACTCTCCAAATCTATAATCAACCACCTCCAATTTCTTCATCTCCTTCCTAACTCCACGCCACATACTTAGGCTTCTTTTGGAAAAGCTTTCTCATTGCTTTATAAAACAGCTTTACAAAGTTTTCTGATTCAAGAAATTTGCCAACTAAAAAACTATTTTAGAGAGTATTAAGAAAGCTGTTCCAAACGAAGCTTAAACAACCATTTTCAATCTCATACGCCATCCAATTAATTCTCCGAAACATCATAGCTCTTAGCCAACCAAATTTCCCTCACCTACCTCACCACCACTTTACAATCCATTATACTTGCTAACCATCTTTTCCACCACTTCAAGGAGGCTAAATTCTCTCCAATTCATCCCACCACCAAGGGCTTACTTCACTCTTTAACTTAATCACATAGAGCTAGTGAGATTCACTCACACTTAAACCATATTTGTCCATATTATAGAAGTCAAGATTCATGGAATAACAAATAATATAAACCACTCAATATCATCCAAATTTGTAACACAGATACTGATACCCTAATAATTAGATTTTTTTTTCAAAGCTTAAGATTGTAAGTGAGGGACAAACACTTGGTATTTAGAATAGTAGCAAACTCTTTATTTATTTGATATAAGGCTAAATCTAATAATCTCACATGTCTTAACAAAATAATCAGTGCTTATTGGAAATCTCAAATGTTTCATATTGATTATTGGCCTTTAATGATCAATCAAGTGGAATTCACTTGATCCCAAATAACTAATTAAAGTTAGTTATACCTCATCATGCTAACATGACTATACACTGGCAACTCATAGCATCACTCTACTTGTTTTCAAGAACTTTTATTGGTGTAACTAGGTTTTTCATTTTTGAATGATTGAATTAATTTGAGCGGAGTGTTCATGGCCCCTCCAAATTAAATTTTTAATTATTTAAATATCTTATAAATTTAATTAAAAAAATAAAAATTGAGTAATAATTTTTTGCCACCTTTTTGGACACGACTAAGATTAGTTTGCTTAATCTAGACCATTTTAATGATTCAAATCCATCTGATGTCTCAGGAAATAGGTTCTAAAATCTCAGCCTAATAACTATTCACTATAGGTTTACTGCCATCAACTCCCTTTATGTCATCAACTCCATTCTTTCTTCTATTTTACTATCAACAACTTTCTTATGACATAACATTTAGATGTAGAGTGCCCACCCCGTGCACTTTGTGCATGCTCATTACATGTTTCATGCACCCATCTTATGCCTTTACATTACTTGTCCATGTACACTTATTTGCTAACTCATACCCATGCACATTTGCCAAGTTATTTTGTGATCCCTATATGTACTATCCCATGTCAATGCCTCTATATGCATTGTTATACCCAACATCTCACCACATCACAACTAACCTTTTGTCTTTTACACAACACCTTCTTGCTCCTTTGCTAATAGCTTTCGAAATATTTTCCTAAAGAGATTGATTTCAAGTTGCCCTTATTGATTGCAAGTCATCTTAAGGAGGCTAACTTTTGGGCTGCCCTTGTTAATGCACATTCTTACCCTTACCAATGCCTTCTTGACGCACTCACCAATAGCTTACCACAACCCTCGTTTGTGCCATTTATCATCCTCATATATGCCTTCTCATAGTCCCCTTAGAATCCTTCTCTACATCCTCATTGATGACTTTTTTTCACTCTCGTTAATTCCTTTTCAATATCCTTGTTGTTGTCTTCCTCCTTTTTGAGAAGTTACCCTAATAAAAACATCTCAATGCCTTTTCATACTTTAGTTGATTTCCTTGCAAATATGTTGCGTTGGCATCTTGACTAGTTGTCAAGTCGACATCTCAAAGATAACTGGTTATTTTTCTCATCAACATCATGGTCTCATTATCTCAACATGTTTTATATTAGAGTTGATCATTGCCTTAAGAACCACTACACAATCTTTTGTGATTTGGTCTAGTTTTAGGTTATGTTGTTCTTTAGGTTCATTTTATTTTTCTTAGCAGTTTAGTTTGCCTATATATAATTGAAGAGGCTGTAATAGATGACCACTCATAGCCAAATAAATCAATAAGAATTTTGTTATCTCTGCCTCCCTCTCTCCCTCTCTCCCTTAAGATTAAAAGAAGAAGCACACTTCCTCAAGAAATCCCTAAAAAACTGGTATCAAAGCAAGGTGGAGGCGATCAAGGGGAAGGAGGAAGTGCTTATTGTATTCAAGAAAGAGGGCGGAAGCGGAGGCGCGGGCTGATCAGACTGATTTCACATTAGGATCGGACGCGTACAAGCATAGGTAGTGCGATTGGTGGAGTCAAAGTCTTGAAGCACAGTCGTGTGTAGGAACTAGGATGGTTGGCTCTAGATCGCGTGCGGGCAGATGTTCGACCAGAGTGGAGCATGCATAAAAGCTTGCGGGAATAGGTTGCACACAGGTGCTGGGCGAGTGCCAACAATAGATAGTGAAAGAGTCTTTCAAATATATGTAGTGATTCCTATGAACACTGAAAGAGTCACAAATAAATGCAGCAACTTGCCAATTAGTGCATGTAGAGACAATATGTAGTGAATGTTGTAACACTCTCATACCCGATGACTATCCAATAGAAGGGAAACACGTTGATCCATTGCATGCAGGGAGGGTTATATGCATCGAATGCAATAACCTATGAACCACTATAGAAGATCCGTCATGTACATAACGTGCCATCTTCATGCAAATATAGAAAAGTCATAGTAAACACAAATTTCTTTGTCACGACCCGGCCCGATGAGCTCGCATAGACAAGGCAGGAACAGAGGTCGAAATGACATTTTGCAGGTTTTACATCCTTTAAGCAGCACTGGAAAATCTACATTCAAAGCCACTTGCCTGCTCATGATGGTAGAAGGCCCGTGATGCATACAACAGTCCCGCCTTCAAGCAAAATAGATAATGAATGCAGTCCACTCGCATGCAACAACATACCACTTTTGAACGCCCGCTAACAGCGCACTACTTACGGACAAATTCAACAAAACTCACCAACGCTATGATTCAGCTTTAAGCAAAAGCAGGGATCAAAAGTAAAGAATTTGGGCCACTTAAGCATGACGCCATACCACCGGATCCGCAACACCCACGCAAGAGGATAGAAGGCGTGTACAAGCTCCTAAATGACAGTTGCCCGCACAGTTGATATCAATTAAGACATTAAATATTCACCCACACATGCACTACAATATATATACAAACAAACACAAAAGTATACATGCAATATTGACCCATATATATGTAAAAATATACACCCGCATTGTCACGACCCGACCCGACCCGGGAAGAATCCCGCTCGCACCGGGCCGCGACCAAACCTTTTATCCAGGATCTGGCTTTGGAATTTGCTTACTGAACTAAATCTTCCAAATCATTCAACTCAAAAGTAACACACACAGACAGACACATAGCTACTATGAATCGTCAATTGCAGCGGAACAAAACATCTATATTTTTCTTTCTTTTTCTCAAAACAATCATCTACAAATACGGTACATGGCTAACAGAAGAAATACAGAAGAAAAGCCATGACCGTACAAAAATCAAAAGTACAAAAGTACCTATCACAGATCGGA